CAAAATAGCCAGATTTCTGGCTGCTGTGTGCAAGGGTCTCCTGGAGTCTCTGGTATTTCATTGAGGATGCGCAGGAAGAATGACGGGACTCTGAGTCACAAAAATTAATAGCATACAGTACTTACATGATATTGACAAGATCTCTACTGACTTTGTGTAAAACTTCAGGTGAAAATGATCCTTGAGTTCTTAGTTCTAATTAAAAGAAACAGTCACATTTATTGCATGGGTAGGGAGGGGAGGGTGGGGGGAAATAGAGCACAAATGGTACCTTTTTGAAGTGGTACTTCTATTACATGGACATCTTTAGGACCTTACCTGGTGTCCACTTCATAGAGGTTTGCAGCTTACTCAAGCTGGTATTGAAAACCCTCAACCCCAACAGCTACAGGTATGAATATCATTGATTCCTTACTTTTAATCATAGTTTCAGCAGTAAATCTGTACTTGTCCCACCACTGATCTTTCTTCTTTATCTCATCTTGTTTCCTAATGATAAAATCAAGCATCATGAGAAATTAAGGGTGCCGAATGGAAAACAAAGCAAAAACAAACTAAAAGAAATAAAACTATTGTGTAGTTCCAGAAAATATCCATACCCCATCACAGAGGGAATTTCAAAAAGGACCCCCTACCCCTAGGAACTCCCAATTTTCTTCCATACAAACTCTGGAATTTTGTTCTTTCTCTGAACCCCCCCCCCCATTACTTAGCTTTTTCTCTGTACTATTTGATAAGAAACAGAAACAAGAAAGCTTATTCCTATGAAAAGGCAAACATGGCCTGGGCCAGGTTGTACGAAGTGTGGATAGTGCTAAGCTTATCCACTGGATAATTTCATTAAAGGGAAAACAACATTAACTTATCTACTGGAAAATAGCGCTATCCACACTTCTTACAACCGGGCCATGTGGTGTAAAAACACTGTACACAAAGTAGAGAAGTCATTAAGTTTTGATCATTGTCTTAGAAATAAGATTGTTTGTTTGAGTTGCATCCATTATCATGTGACATCTTCTCAAGCACAATGGACTCCTTTGACGATGCGCAACAATCTTGAATTTCAAGACATTATGGGTCGCACATGCAGCAAAACAAAATGAAGATGTTGAAATGATGGCCGCACAATATTTGAGAACGTTTCCTCAGTTATAGAACTTTTCATTTATTTTAATTTGTCTCTTGTCAATTGTCTTGTTGTGAACTGTAAATGTCAATAGCCCACTTCCAAGTTATGCTTAATTGCTTGTCACGCACAAAGGTTTCAGTATTGAGGCTACGTGCTAACTGAAATTTATTCTTACCGCCTGTCACGAATGACTTAGCATTTAGCACGTAGCCTCATACTGCAAACTTTGTGCGTGACAAGTGAAGCATATCTCAGAAAAGGGCTATTGACACCATCATTATAACAAAGCTTTGTATATTTGCCCTCTGAATGAACCATAATGCCGTCTGATTCAAGATGGCCACTGCCTTGTCAAAGCAGCCCATTGATAAACAAAAAATGATACTCTAGGAAATGACACATGGTCTAAAATAGAAAAAACATTAAAATCAAGCATAATAAAAAATTTGTCTTTATATTCAATCATGATAATTACCTTTTCAGTTTTCCGTGTAAATGATCATACTTCTCTTTCAAGTCTTTTAGAGTCTTAGTCAAACTGCAATAGTATGTAATAAAGCCATTTATTTATCATTCTATGTTACTGTATATACTTCAATGGTATCTGGTATAAAGCGAGTGTTTAGTGTGGAAACTTGATCTTAAATCCTTCCAATTGTGTCAGGATTGACCAAAAATCATTCTAAACTCCTTTACAAATGGAGATAACTAGCTAAAAACTAGTGTGAAAGAAAATGTGTGTATGTGCTGTGTGCAATTATAAAGCACACTGGGAATTGCAGAACACAAGAGAGTACTTCTTGACACTTCTCAAGTGTTCTCCCAATCCCCAAATGTCTTATAGCTCAACACAGCACAGCAATCAAGTGTTTTTATTTCTCTTATAAAATAAAACTTTTAGATAGGAATGATGCAACGAGCGATATGTGCTGTGCTATCATAAAGCACATTCTCCCAACCAATCAGATTGCAAGATAACAGTAATAATGGCTCGCAAGGAGAATAGAATATTTCTACAACATGTTTCTTTACAAGTTTAAATTTGAACATTGTACTTGCCTACCTGACATTATCTTTGTTGAGTTCTTTATTCAGTTGGTTAAGAGTGTCATTCTTGTCTGCTAATTGCTTTTTTTCTTGTTTTACTTTCTCCAATTCGTCTCTCTTACCTAACAAGAATGAAAACATTAGATGGAGTATGATAGCTATAGTATGCAACAACTAGATTATTGTTTATTGTTTGGACAGGTACAAATATATCAAGTCAAGTTTTTAATGCATTCATGTATCCTGATTTATAGGAGGAAAGGGTGGATGGATGGATGGATGGATGGATGGATGGATGGATGGATGGATGGATGGACGGATGGTTGGATGGATGGATGGAGGATGGATGGATGGATGNATGGATGGATGGATGGGTAAATGGATGGATGGTTGGATGGATGGATGGAGGATGGATGGATGGATGGGTGGGTGGATGGTTTAGATCAGGGCTCAAAATAGCGGCCTGCCAATGGCCAGATGACAGGCCAAATTTATTGGATTTACCTCCTTTTACCATACTCCTTTAGTATGGCAGGCTGAAAAAAAATTCTAATTCAAGCCCTGTTAGATGGATGTTTGGATGGATGGATGGATGGATGGATGGATGGATCGGTCGGTGGATGAAGGGAGGGAAGAAGGGATGGGAGGGAGGTAGGGAGGGAGGGATGACGGATGATGACTGACAGAAGGGCAAATAGATGTGGATGGATGGATGAGTGGATGGATGGATAAATGATATCAAAACGAAATTTCATTCATTTATGAAAGAAATTAAAAGTACCACATAAGAACCTAAAAAGCTTATATACCAGCTAGTAGGACTTATTGTACAAAAGAACAGCATGTAACTGTACTAACAACTATATACACAATAAACTATACGTAAATAGTACCCAAATGGCGTACGATTACGTTGAAATTATATAAAACACATTCGAAGCAGCAGAAGAATGCATAGTTTGTAGACATTTAAGTCTTAATGGAGTCTTTGAAGAAAAGTTTGGAAATTTAAGAGTAAGTAACTATAAAGTGTACCTTTGAAATCGTCTTGAATGGCCTGTTTTAGCCGCTCCACAAGCAAAATACTCTCCATCACAACAGAAAATAGGATTTCTAAAACTTAAAAATACCAATATTCTACACCTTAAAGCAAAATAACATAAAAAAACAGCGTTTAAAATTAAGTTGGGGATCAAAAATTCCCGCGCATCAACTTGACCGCCATTTTTGTTTATCACATGGAGAGAGCCTGGGAACCAAGGCTCCTTTGCCATCGCAAACAAGACTGGAATGGGGGGGAGGGGTGGGTTACAGTTCTTTAGAACTCTTTTTTCATGTTTTTTTTTTTTTCAACTATGAACAACATCAAAATGAAGCACAGAGAAATGAAACCTAGCTTGAGCTACATTTGATATTTTAAGACTTTTTAAAACTCTTGCTACTTATCAGTAGGCATAATTGTGTTATGGTCACGAAAAAGTAGTATAGGGGAAGGGGTTTCCAGCGCAACGACAACCGGAGGATTACCCGTCTAAAGTACCCCCCTCGATTCGTACCGCGATTACCCGCATCCCGTGTCTATGTAGTTAAATATGTTAGTCTATATATGGAGTGCGAAGATTGTAAGAGAACTTTTAAGAAAGAAGTG